TTAATATGTATCAAAAATTTCAATTTTTTAAAAAATGTCTCAGAACCCTATTTTCCTAGCAAACTTCCCATATATATAAATTCCTTGATCAACATTAACACGTGAAACCTAGATCTTAATAACTTTATAAAACCGAGATTAATGTTTAATTAATTTTTTTTTTTTAATTAATATAATCTACATTTTTGTTTTTGTATAAAAATTACATCTATATTATCTATAACGTTATTTTAAAAGTAGGTAAGAAAGAAAAAAAAATAAATAAATGTTCTAAAAAGAAAATTTTCTATGTTAACAAAGCAAAGAAAATTCCTAAAACTAAACCGAAAATACCATATGATGAACTGCCAAGTAAAGCTGAGGCGGAACCTGTTTTAGGAACACCTTCTAAACTCTCTGGACTATATATCGTCCACCATTCAGTGGCACCATCTGTCTTTTGTAACAATCTATTTAGGATTTTAGAATATTTACCGGATTTATCACCATAATAATCTCTAGATTTATATAAAGCAGGCAAAAGAACGGTTTCATCTTCCTTGACCTTACCATTTTCTATCAAATCAACCAGAAAATCAACGGCATTTTGAATAGTACCACCAAATTTTGTTTTAGCTTCCCATAAATTTATTCCATCTATCCTTAATGAAAATTTAGCAATATATGTTAAAGCTTCTAAATTAAAACATTGATAATGAAATGGTTTTGTTCGTTTGCTTTCTTTCGGCTGTTCTCCTGATTTCAAGATGGTATTTTGAAATGTTATATCAACAAAAGTTTTAATGACATTTTTTGCTTCCTCAGTTCTTCCAGAAAGATCCAAATAAGTCGCCAATTGGGCTATGTAAAATGTTGCATGATTATTGGACCTTTCGGCTGCTCCTTTCCCTAATTCAGAATTTATTAACCAATCCGAAAAATCCGAAAACCATTTTCTTAATCCTTTGTTGACATTATCGTTCCATGCTTTTGAATTTTCAAGAATTTTAATCGCGATTGGAATGTAAACCTAATTAAGAAAGAAAAGGAAAGATATATTTTTATCGCTTTAATTGATTCAAAGCTAATTTATTAATTAAGATACTTACGTAAAAACGTAAATCAAGGATTCCTTCTTCCCTTCCTTTCCATTCTCCGGGACCTCTTTGTACTTGACCATAATATACGTCGGGTAACATACTTGTTTGTTCGTTAACAAACCAAACATCCAACAATTGTACAGCTTTTCTAGCAAAATTTTCAGCTTTATCACCATCATTTAATTTATAAGCGAATGATAAGCTTACTACACTATCAATCATCTTTCTCGAATCAGATGGATCAGAGAGCTTTTTAACATCAGGATTAAACATTCCGTCATATGATTTGTAAGGGCATTGAGTTTGAGGATCTGAGACATTTTGTATACCATCACAATTTGGCCATAAATATGGTGCATATGAAAGATATTCACGTTTATCTCCATTTGGTGGGATCACTGTTGTGTTTGTTACTGAATATGGTTTGTCTTGCTTTAAAGCTTTTAAAGCAAAAGAATTTATCGATTTTAATGCTGGGTTTGAATTATCTACATGTCCCTTAAAGTAATCTAATCCCTCAATTGTAACATAGTCGACGTTTAATGCCGCTATATAAATCGAAAAATTAATTTTAAATTATTTTGGTTTCAAATGTTTCGCTTTATTTCCGAAAGTAACTTACCTTGAGCAAATATTGCATTTAATATAATGTAAAGAATAGGAGATGCGGAGAAAATAAGTAGACTTTTCATTGACCAAAAACGAAAAGTTTTTATTTTTTTAAAAAAGAAAATCTTATTCCAGGATAAACCTTTGGACAAGAATTTTTTTTATTATTTTCTATTTTGTAGGATGTTCAAAGTTTAAAATCGACCCGGCGATTTTAAGAAAGTGCAAAGGAAAAAAAAAAGGGAATCAAGTAACTGCATAGAAAGAAGTTGGAATAAAAGTCTAAACTACTGTGAAAAAATACGTCGTTTTTAAATCCATTTGTGGAAACTAAAGAGTAAGTATGTATTACATTATTTTCATTCTTATAGATATTCCTTTGTTTTTCTGATTTGTTGATATGTTTCAAATCTAAATATAAGTAAGTATTGTATTACTATTGCATATTTTTTATAAAATGTTTTCCATAACAACAAGTCGTTTCATAATCATTTTACCACTCATATAATCGTTTTTTAAGTGCTTTTATATCATGATCTTCCTATAAAATAAATAATGTTTCATAATTAATTCTTTTTATTTTATATATATATATATATTTATTTACCTTGTTTATATGCAATAATGCGGTGTGAACATGGTTTTGCTGTTTAATAAATTGGTCTAACGCTTCATTTAATTCAGCCTGGTCGATTGCATCTAGATTCAGCACATTGAAATTTACCTAATTACATAATTTGGAAATTTTCAATAGGATGTTTTAATTATCATACATAGTTTCTTCAGATCGTTATCAAGATCCCGTCCTAATCTTTGGCTTTGTTTATGAAGCTTCGTAAGGTTATCTAATACTTTTGTGGTGCTCGACTATTAAAATATTCATGTTAACTTAATATCAAAAAGCAAAAATGTCTATTTATTTAAAGTTAAACCTGATATCTCTCAAGCTCGAGTTTCTGTTTCTTAATATATTCATTCTCTTTTCCTAATCGATCATCGATCTTTCTTTTTGCATTAAATGTAATTTCTTCCCTATATAATGAAATGAGCAATTAGGTTCTTATTATAATAGTTACCGTTACCATAATACTAACATTTCGATAGCCCATGTGGCTATAATACCATTTTCACCATCGATCATTTTCCTAGCTTCTTCCAACCGTGCTTCTTGTTCATGTTCAAATTTGTTAAAGCTCAATGTAGTCTTTTTCTTAGATTTTGCTACATCGTTTGAATTTTTTCATGTGAAATGATGTAAGTTGGATTTTGAATAAAATAATCGGTTAATGTCACTCACTTTGAAGAAGACCAATCAGTTCAGCCATATCATTGCTCCTTTTTATTCAAAAAAAAATTGCAATTTGCTTAAAAATACTTTAAAGCAAATCATGTAATTAAGGTTCATATATTTTTTACCCGGTACTTCTTCCATCATTAGTTGCGTAGTTGGTTTCGTTTTCTTCTTCAATATCATTATCGTCATGCTCATTATAATCGTCAGATTCATTGTCGGATAATATTTGAATATATCTTTCTGTCATTATATTACTTTTCTTTTTCGATTGAGCTTTGGTTTGTTCTCTTGGATTTTTTACTGCGCCATAATTATTAGATTTTCGTTTCTGTGTGCCTGAAGCGTTCCTTGGACCTATATATCGATCATTGTAAACTTTGAAAACGAAAAAACGACAATTAATTGAAATAAAAAAAAAAAGACCATTTCGATTAAAAAGGTTGTCATTTTTGGTATTTTCTACAATTAAAGCGCGTTCTCTCATTTTAAATTTTATCAATATTAAAGTTAATTTAAAAAAAAAAAAGTTGATTCATTATCTTTTAATTAAATAGCTTTATATGGCTTTAAAAGATTAAACTTAAACTTTTTTTTATCATTATTATTATTACTTTATTTATAGTTTGAATGAACTTTATATGACGCGTGTTGATCAAATTGAAAATGCATATAAATTCACTTTTCGCGTATCAACCAACCATGTTTTTCTTTTTCCTTTTTTCAACCATAATTTTTTTTTTTTTAAAAAAAAAATACTCATTAAAAATCTATAGAAATTATTTTTCTGAATAATGGTTAAACCAAAGAAAGCTCCTGCTGCTAAAGGCGATGATGGTATTAAGTTGTTTATTTATTGGTGTTGATATCTATTTCTGAACAGGACTTATAGTAATTTTTTAAGTTGATTAAAATAGCTGAACAGATGGTTTTGGATTATTTAAAAAAGACAAATCGACCTTACAGTGCTAGTATCCTTTCCATACTTTAAATAATAACAATTATATAATTTGAACCAATTAATCTTTAAATCGATAATACTGGATAACTTTTGAATAGATGATATTTCAAGTAATCTTCACGGAGCTGTCACTAAAGTTATTGCACAAAAGGTCTTGGGTAATCTTGTAGAGAAAACTGAAGTTTGTTGCAAACCTTATGGGAAGCAATCAGTTTATGTCATCAACCAGGTAAATTTGATTATGAAATTCGGTTTATTTACATTTATGATTTTATTTTTAACTTTAAATTATTTTAGGACCAATTTGAGTCACCTTCCCAGGAAGAATTGAATGATATGGATGTAAAAATTGATGAACTTAAAAAGGAAATTGACGGATACAAGGAGAAAAATAGGCAATTAACGTCAGGTATTAAACTAAATTATTTTCGTAATCCATTGGAGAATTAACTTTTAATTTAATTTGCGTGTCAACTAGAACTGACCACATTAAATAATTCTCTGACCAATGACCAATGCGAGGAAAGGTAAAAAATTTTTTTGAATAGAAATAAATCTTCCGCTATTTAACTCATTTTCATTTTGGAAATCAATGGATTTATTTTATTTTTTTTTTATATTTTTTTTTTTAAAAAAGAATCAAGACTTTAACTGAACAGGTAAAATCGCGTAAATTTATTAATCCTGAATCGATTAATTATTGAATAAAGCTTTGGTTAACTTGATGAGAATATTTTATATAAATTAGAACAAAAAATATGAAGAACGTTTAGAAGAATTACGATCGGGCACGAAAAAATTTTCTGTCGATGATGCAAAACTTATTGATGATAAGTTTGAAAGGAATCGTAAATTCTGGAAACAAAGAAAAAGAATGGTAATGAATCCTATTTGTTTTATAGCATTTTCACAAACATATAAATATATATATATATATATTAAAACTTACTCTTTATTTATTATAGTTTGACGAAATTGTCTCAACAATGTTGGAGAATATTGATATGAAGAAAAATGTGTTTGAGGTAGGTTAGAAACTGGTATGGGTAAAACGCACTCATTTGATTAAATTATTTTGATTGTTATACAATAGGATGAAGAACTAGGAATTGAAAGAGATCCTGTTGATATCAACGAAGATCCTTTGAAAAATTTGTGAAGAAAACGTGAAGGTTGGTTATTCATCTTTGGACTTTGTACAACCAATTGTATTAGTACGACGCGTTTCATTGCTACAAATTTATTATGTAAATCATAACTTTTTAAAAATAATTGTAAATAAATAAAGAGGGAATAAATGAATTATCATATTCGGCATAAATAAATCTTGCATAAATTGCTGCGGATGATCCAATCAAAAAATTCGAAAAACTAATTTTAAAAGTTTTAATTTACTAACCAAATATTTCATTTATTATTAATTGTTTCAAGATATTTTAGCTTTCGGATTTAAATCATAAATAATCTAACTTGGTAAAATTTTGTAACATGAAATAATGTTGTTAATCACAAGATGATTACAAAACTACAAAATAAGAAACAAGAAAGGAAAAGTGTGTTGATAAAAACTTGTATTTTTGTAAGGTGCAACAACGCTGAAAATGGTTGACGGATTATTAGACAGGTTCGTCGCAAATTCGGGATTGACATTAAAACTGGCAGATTTGAATGGGGTTTGAAGTAGTAATATTAGATGTGTTGTTGGGGTTGGTGCTTCCATGAAACCTGTGAGAGTTGAACAGTGCACACTCATTGTGTTACAAATATTTAAAATTTTTTGATATTGAAATAATAAAATACATCAAAAAAAAAATTAATTATTATTTATTTTGCCACGTTCTCATTAATTTTATCTCCATAAATAAAAAAATGTCTCCCGGTCATAACTTTAACGAAAATCCATCAAGTTCAACTACACCTATTATGAATTCTTATATTGTCCATGTTGGCGAACAAACGTTTCGTCTTTATCGTTCATCAATAACTTTTGACTCTCCTAACTTCTTTACTCATACTTTTCTTTGTGACGAAACACCAGGAGAAAACGATGCAGGTGTCTCTACTAATAACGTTACTTTAACAGCCGAGTCAAAAACACGGAAAGATAAGACAAGTATTACTTCTTTGGACAACATTGGAAAAACTGGTGATAGTTGTGTTGGAGATATTGATTATAACAAAACAAAGTCTAGTGCTAGCACTCAAACATATATTTCACCTAATGCATTCGTAAAGGAAATCACGATTGACAGGGATCCTCGATCATTTGAAGTCATTTTAAGATATCTTCGAGGTTATACCATATTTCCACTTTCTTCTGTTAACTTACCTCCTGGCATGTCACTTGACTTGTTTAGGGAAAGTTTACTAGAAGATGCGCGGTTCTATGGTTTATGCAGACTTGAACGACTTCTTCAAGCAGAAACTCCAACACCTTTAAGTTATAAGGATCCTTTCACTTCAGCCGATAAAATTCTTTTATCATTGCGTGATGTTCCAATTCACAAGGAATTCATTAAATCTAATCTTGAGGGATCTTCCACCATAGAATTTTTTACGGGTGCTGTTCTCACACTCGAATTAGAGTCTTCTGATGCTTCAATACGTTTTCATACAAAATTTTTGAACGAACAAGATCAAAAGGCTTTAGAAACTTTGGGCGAAATTTGTGGGGAAAATTCAAAAATTCAATTTTCAAGACATTTGAACACAAATCAAAATATGCGAGATTCATTAAACGGGATACGTTTAGAAATTGATGGGGTTCAGGTTACGGGGGTTGACATTGCCTCTTTGGTCGGATCTTACAGTCCAAGGGCAAAAGCTTTGGAAGATATGTTTCGTCAATCCGGAGGTCAAAAATTAGTAATATATGCTCAAGAATTTGTCTTTAGATTAGAACATCTTTCTTATAATTTCAAAAAGGATAAAAATAAAGACAAAGTAAAGGATATTGATAACAATGATATGGTTTATATAAACAGTAATGGAGTATTCCAAGATGATGAATCACAGAATGAAACAGATCATATAAATCATACCGAGGATAGTAGTAGTGAAATTATTGATGCAAACAGTTATGATAATAACGATAATATTAAAAATAATAACAATGATAATGAGGAGGGTATAAATCCGGTTTATCTTGGAGTTGTGTGGGCTAAAGGATGGACTCAAGAATGGTGGGCTTGGAATGAATATAGAATGAAATTGGACACTCTCCAATAATTAGGTTATAACATTATAAATGAATAAATCTATTCTATATATATATACATGGTTATTTTGATTATTATTATATTTATTCATTTTCATATCCTTATTCCTTATTCATATATATCTTTTTTTCTTTCACACAAATGTTGCTCTTTTTTTTTAATTTTTTTAAAAAAATATTATTAGGGTCCTATTTCAAGAATATTTTTAACGTTAATTATAACCAAAAAAAAAAGAGAAAAAAAAATTTTCATGTTTAAAAAATTCACGAGATCAAAAACACAAAATCATATCAGTATACATTTTTTTTAATATAATTGGTAATAAACAAATTAAAAAAAAAATTTCGATTACTTATATTGATTTACATAATCCTATCGGTTAACTTGTGACATACTTGTTTTATACTTGATCATACATAAATAATATTTCAATATTAGTTAATATTCCATTAAAACGACAATTAAGGCTTGGTGGTCTAGTGGCATGATTCTCGCTTAGGGTTATTCTGAATTGCGAGAGGTCCCGGGTTCAATTCCCGGCCAAGCCCAATAGACTTTTTTTCTGTTTTCTATACAGTTGAATTCACCCATCTGTAAGTTTCATTTTTGTCCAAAAACTGTGAAGTTCGGGAAATCAAAGCTCATGATTAGCTCTTAGAAATTAAGAAAATTCCAAAATTGGAACCACTATGCCATTTATGTAAAAATCAGAATTAAAACCTCGGAAATAAAAGAAATACCAAGGAACTTCGTTTCTTTGATCAAATCCCGTGAATTGAATTTCAAGTAGATGAATTACGTACTAATTGAACTCGTGGAGCTGGATGAACGCGTACCCCTTAAAAGCTTTTTGCCTTTTATGGAACATACTTTGCTTTGCGTGTTTGACTCCTGAATTATTCTGTGCTTTGCAAAGGATAAATATTACGTTGGAGTCAAAACTCCGTTTTATTTTAGTAAATCATATATTATAAATATTAGTAAATTAATCAGCTCCTCATTTTTTTTTTTTTTTTTTTTTTTTAAAATAGAATTTACCCTTATTCCTTTTTCGGGGACACTCATATCGTAATTCGATGGTAATTTAGATTCCATTTACAATATTTACTAATTCCTAATGTATGTATGCGTAATATTTTTTTTTTATCGATATATATTAGGTGTTAATTTTCATCTTAAAAAATATATTTAAAAACTTTTAAAGTTCAACAAGTTTCAACAACCTTTACTTTTTGTTTCACCACTTTTCTTTTCCGCATTAAATTTGTAGAAACTTGATTTTACGAATTTTATAACATTCTTATATTTTAAATGTCCAAGACAAATAAAACAATGGTAATTTAGAATTTTTCATTCGGTGTTGTATTGTTCGTTAAACTTTAATAAAACTGTAATAAATTCACAAATATTCCTATTTTTTTTTTCCTTGTACAATAGACGAAAGCTGATCCTGACAAAATGTACGACTTGCTTGAAAAGCTTGGTACCGGTTCATTTGGAACTGTTTATAAAGCGTACGTACCAAATGTTTTTATCCTTCTGATATACTCGGAAAAACTTGTTCTCTTTTGCTAACATAATGCACATTACATAGCATTCATAAGGAAACGAACGAAGTAGTCGCTATTAAACAAATTGATTTGGAAGATTCTGATGATGATATTAGTGAGATTCAACAAGAAATTGCTTTATTATCGCAATGTGACTCACCATACATCACACGTTATTATGGCTCGTTTATCAAAGGATTTAAATTATGGATTGGTAATTATTTATTCCTTCCCGAATTGATTCAAATTTGAATTCGATATAATAATAATTATAATTTTATTGGTCTTTTTTAATTCTTTTCAGTGATGGAATATTTATCCGGTGGATCATGTTTAGATTTGGTAAGGAATTCATTTATTTATAACAAATATATATATATATATATATATAAATATTTATTTATTTATTTATTTTTAAATTAACGTCATATAGCTTAAACCTGGTCCGTTTGATGAACAATATCTTGCCATAGTTCTAAGAGAACTTTTATATGGTTTAGAATACTTACATGTTGAAGGCAAAATTCATCGAGATATCAAAGGTAATGATACATAACAATCATTTTTTTTTATATTTTGATTTGAATGTATTAACATTCTTGTACAAAATTTATAATTTATTTTAGCTGCAAATATTCTGCTTTCTGGTGATGGAAAAGTCAAATTAGGTAAGGTTTTCAGATAGATTTCGAGTTGAATACTGGATAGCCAACTCGAATTTTTTTTAAGCTCACAAGTGATGCAATTGTAACTCCAAATAATTATCGTGAGCCTTTGTTAATTTTTTTTTCTTGGTATCTGCCATAGCTGATTTTGGTGTCGCTGCACAGCTTTCAAATAATAAAAGTAAACGAAATACTTTTGTTGGCACTCCAGTAAGTTATTTGTGTATTGATCTTATCTCCGTATTTTTATGTCTGCTATAATTCAAAAATTATATTATAGTTTTGGATGGCACCTGAAGTAATTCGACAGGCTGGTTATGACCACAAGGCTGACATATGGTCTCTAGGAATTACAGCTATTGAAATGGCTAAAGGAGAACCACCATTATCTGAATACCATCCAATGCGTGTTCTTTTTCTCATCCCTAAGGCCAAGCCTCCCGTTTTGGAGGGCAATTTTTCATCTGCATTCAAGAACTTTGTTGAATTATGTTTGACAAAGAATCCTCTCGATGTAAGATATTTTGTAAATTTTTTTTTTTAAAAAAAAGGAATTACTTATAACTTTTTTTATTGAAATAGCGACCTACCGCAAAAGAATTATTGAGGCACCGATTTATTAAGTCAGCTCGCAATACAGTATCATTGCAAGAGCTTGTTGAACGATATGAAGTTTGGAAATCTAATGGCCCACAAAGAGCTGCTTCTGTTTTCCAGAAAACTTTGTAAGTTTCTTCTATATATAAAGTTTAATTCGTGAATTTCGGGAATATTGGATCATTTAGATTGATTGACCTTTTCTCTTAAAACAAATAGAACTCTAAACAATAATATAACGGAATTAGTCTGGGATTTCGAAACTATCAAACAAGCGGCAAAAAATGGCACCATAAAGTTAGAGACGAGCAAGGATGGTACTTTCAAGATTGAAACAAAGAATGATGGAACTATCAAGTTAGAGACAAATAAGGATGGTACTATAAAATTAGATCCAGCCACAATAAAACGATTGGAAAAGGCAACTTTAGTATGTTTGAATAATTATCTATAATTTTAATTATCTTCATTTTGAAGATAAACACTCATACGTTTATTCGCTCTTTCTAGTTATCTTGTTCATCGAATTATTCTACAGTTCGAGCTTCTGATTTTGCCGTAAGTATATTAATTATATTAGATCTTGGGATATATATATATTATCATATTATTAGATTATAACGCCTTTTTTTTTTTTTTAACTAGAATCAAAGAAATCTAGAGGTTATGGCAAATTCCAATGTGAATGGAACAATAATCCAAACTTCATCTGCAAAACAAATTCTTACGGTTGATTCGCTTTATATGAATGGCAGGTAAGTTGCACAATTATATAACAAATCTAATTGAAAATTTAACTTGATTAACGAAATATTGTTTATATTAGTGGACTGGATACTGTAAGAGCACCAAGGCCCTTTAGTGCGGCTAGCACAACTTCAAGTAGATCATATTCAACAATCTCTAGAAAAAATATTGCTGAACCTGTAACTGAAGAAGGATTTGCTGGAAGACAGCTTGTTAAAGAAGTTATTCTACCTTCAATATCGCAGGTTAGTTTTAAAGCAAAATGAAAAATATTTTTTTTTTTAAATTATTTTATCAATTTTTTTTGTAAACATTAGATCAAGTTAAAAGAATTAAGAGCAAATGAGATTGAAGCTATAAATACTTTAGAGAAAGGAATCGAGGACCTAGATCATGCTAATCCAGATTTGGTTGTAACGGTATTAGTGGATATCCTATCACGGATGAAAAAGTAACTAATAGTTTTTTTTTTATCATTGACATTTTTTTTTTTAAATCTAACTTCATTTATAATTTGTAGTAATGTTGAAGTATGTGACAAATTATCTGATTTGGGAATCGTTTCAGACGCGTTTTTAACAGCAAATAATCATTCAACTACAGACACCGCATCATCGCGAAGTTTACCGAATGGAAACAATATAGTCGAAGAAACTGAACCAGAACCAGTCGCAGAAGTAAAACAAAAACCTCCAATAGAGATGATATATTCTAGGTGGATTGAGCAATTACGGATGAAATGGCTATAATAATAATTATTTAAACGGATATTGGTTGAAAGTGAAAAAAAAAAAAAAAAACATTTTAGTACATAATTATTAGTTTTTTGGGGTGGAGGGACAAAATGTCGGAACTTATACATATATTTCAAACAATGGATACTAATATTTATATTTATATATATTGTTAAAAAAATTTTTTATTAATTGTATATTATGTTGTATTCTTTCTTTAATTTCTTTTATAATACCCTTGTATTTCTTTCTATAAATAACCATTCATCATCCTTTTCAATTTTAAGCTTATTAGTTTCTTTATCCCGTCTTTATTTGTACTATATAAATATGTCAAACAAATTATGATTATTAATTATTTACCTTTTTATTATTACGGAAAATTAAAGTAATTGTTATTAAATAAAATATTAATCCTCTTTTCTTTGATCTTTGAATAATAACCAAACATGACCATAAATAAGGGTAGCAGCGACCCATTTCACCAAAGTCATAGTGTCCTTTTCGCTTCTCATTGTCAAAACAATAAATGCTATCAGTGCTTCAACAGTATGAAAAATAACCAAAATAATTAAATTTATATTTATTAAATTTGTTCCAAAAAAATCTCTAATTTCTTTGATAATTGTTGGTGTCGAATAAGGATAGAAGGCAATGGTTAATAGTGTTATAATAACAAATATTGTAATTGATAAATCAATTCTTCCTGGCATAATAAATGGGGTATGTGAAGTTGGTGATGAAGAATCAGACATCATTGAAGGTGGTGGTGCTGTACTAGGCTAAAATAGATGATTCAATTAACATAAAATTGACCAATTGACAAAAAAATATGTATAAAGAAAGTAATGATACCAAGTTCAAAGCTTCCTCAGCTTCTTGTGCCATCCGAGTCAAGGTAGGTCTAACTTCATTATACGACCTCAATGGAGATTTAAATCTAATGTGAATTTCTGATTCTAATCCATCCTCTTCTTTTACCGCTATGACAAACCCAGTCGAGTCAATATCCGTCATTCGAGCACTAACTGCATTGCTTACTTCTCCATAATACTTTGCGTATCCAAGGATAGTAGCAGGGTGCGTATTCATGTAGGAAACCAAACGATTTGCATGAGGAGTAATTATGTCTGGACTATTTTCTTTCCGCTTATTATGAACTTTAGGGTTATTATTAACTTTACGAAAAAACATTTTGGGTTCTTTAGAAGCAAAAATCAATGATTACTTATAAAAACCGGAAGGTAAAAAATTTATCTGTTCGGTTACAGGTAATTTACTGGTAATTTACATAAATTTCGGTAATATTTTCCTTATAGGGAAAGGGCTTGTTACTACATCACCAGATGATCTATTTTCACGTGAGTAGATCTTGGCGATAAGGTTATCCGAATTTTTTTTTTTTTAAGGGTTTTTTTCCAAAGATTTTTTTTTTCCCCCTCCTCTTGCATCTTGCCTTTTTAGCTATATATCACATATTGCTTAGGCAATCCATAACTGATAATGGCTACCCAAATCTCAAAGAAAAGAAAAGTGAAGTATTTTTTTATGATTTAATAGGAATTAGAATAGATATCGATAAAATTTATTAGATATTTCCTGGAAGTATCTCACTTTTATACTTGATATGATGATACATTTATCTGGCACCTCTTGTTTGAATACCTTATTTATTAAAGGTATAATGTACGGAATTTAAGAATAGTACTGATCAATAATAAGTGAGATATCTACACGAATAAGAGAATTTTTTATTCATTAAAAATGTCATGGGCTTTCCTTTGGTGTTTTTTTTTTTAATTAGAAGAGGAAACAATTGAGGGAAAAAAAAAGCCAACAATTAACGTTTTATTTTTGATATAATAGATCGAATTACGATTTTGATTTTTGATATTGATTATTTAACTTTTTCGCGTAAATTAATTAGTTCGTTGCTGATGGTGTGTTCTTTGCCGAACTCAATGAATTTTTTACACGTGAATTGGCCGAAGAAGGTTACTCGGGTGTGGAAGTCCGTGTAACCCCAGCTCGAACGGAAATTATAATCCGTGCTACACATACTCAAGAGGTTCTCGGTGAAAAAGGACGAAGAATTCGTGAATTAACTGCCCTTATTCAAAAAAGGTTTAAATTTCCCGAAAATACTGTCGAGTTATACGCCGAAAAAGTACAAAATCGTGGACTTTGTGCTATTGCTCAATGTGAATCGCTTCGATACAAGCTTTTGGCTGGTCTTGCCGTAAGAAGGTAAAATTTTATTAAAACGAATATTTTTTTTTTTTGGATCTTTGATCGTATTATTTAATATTAAAAAAATATTATATTGTACACATAGGGCTTGTTATGGTGTTTTGCGATTCATTATGGAATCGGGAGCAAAAGGATGTGAAGTGGTTGTATCTGGAAAATTGCGTGCAGCTCGTGCTAAATCTATGAAATTTGTTGATGGGTTCATGATTCATTCCGGTCAGCCAATCCGTGATTATGTGGACACAGCTATCCGACACGTTATGTTGAGGCAAGGTGTTTTGGGAATTAAAGTCAAAATCATGAAGGTACGTATATCGACAGGATTGCCTACAAATTTTAATTCATGAAAAATTTTTTTAATCACGTATAAATTTTTCAGGACTGGGATCCATCTGGTAAAATTGGACCAAAGAACCCTCTACCCGATATGGTTACCATTATGGTATGTCATTTTTGATGAGGACTTTTTTTTTTTTTTTTTTTGTGTTTTTCAATTGGTTCAAAGTATTTAATTCGGTTAAAAATAAAATAAAAATAAAAATAAAATAGGAACCCAAGGAAGAACAGATCATTACAGAACCAACTTCAGAGGACTTAAGATCGGCTCAGGATATCCCTGTTCCACCCTCATCTCCTCCTGCACAGCCCCCGGAATTTACTGGTGAAACTTTTGAGTAAAATAAATAAATTATTATTGCATAACAAAAAAAAAGTCGGCTTTTACTTTGGGAGGGATAAATTTTTTTTTTTTTTTTGATTAAAAAAGTCGAAAAATTTTCTTTAACATTTGAGGTTCCAAAAAGTTAAATTAAATGTACAATATAAAGTAATAAATAATAATAATGAATAATGTTTGGTACTTATTTGTTCAAAAACTAATTTTAGATGATTTATTTGTCATGTGACCGAAAAATGGTAGCCGGATCTGTTTGCCGGACCAAGATTTTATTATAAAGACTGTTTAAACAAGATTGGAATGATAATTATTCTTCTGGAAACAATGTCATTGACAGATGATAATTGAAGAGGTTTCAGCTATTCTGTTGGGTGTTTAAAAACAACCGTGCGCATTTGTTCACGTGATTTGTTTGTTTAACGCTATGGTGCAAGGCATACGAATTTCCATTAGTCCACTTGACAACTCGCCCCAAACATAATCAGATTTTTTAGAGGCTGGTAAACTTCATTAATTCTGGTGTTACAAAGGGGTTTTCCTTTTCATAAGTCAAGATAAAAGGACAAAATCTGTAGCAGTTTCAATTCATATTTTTCATGATTATTCAAAATCATATCTCCAAATACGGGTTTCATCTCAACAGTAGATTAATATAATCTTATTACAAAGAAAGAAATTCATATGCATTATAAATCACATTTCAAAAATGTGCAATTAATAATAATTAGATGAAGTGAAATTTCTATAGCAACATGAGACATTATAATCTATTGATTAATATGTTGATTACATTGCTTGAGCGCATGTTCTTTTTGAAAATGTGTATTTATTAGTAAAGTTTCTGTACATTTAAATCTATCCTCATCACCTGATGATGACGAACTTGTATGAACTATATAAGTAATAAGATCTAAAAATAAATCCCAATAAAAAATACAACATACTTGCGAAATAGCTTCTTCAATCATATGAACATCCAAGACGAAGCCTGGAAGACATGCAATAACTCCTAGTTAAAGCTATATTACCAAAACTTCAGATAAATTCAAAAAAGATTAATACAATAATTTGTAAGTTTTTTATAAAAATTTTCAAACTTATAAATAATTTCATTCTTTATTAGAAGAAGACACATTCTTTCCAAAATGATTGATTGTATTATATATTTGGTTGACACATAATCCTAATTATGGTGAGATACGACAATGATAAGTCGTTTTTTGAAACTTTTACTATTATAATACATGTTCAACTATTGGAATTGTTATATATAATTCTGGAAATTATGTCATTGATAGAAGATCTAATCTAAGGAAAATCCTTTTGTAACACCAGAATGATATATTTTATTTTTAGTTAATGCAGATTTCAGATGATGCAAACCTAATCTCCAAGAACACAACATTATCACGGCAAATTCAAAATAAGACAGAGTTTACTAACCTCTAAAAAATCTGGTTATGTTTGGGGCGAGTTGTCAAGTGGGATTAATCGCACCATGACTAGAGATAATATGGCATTAGAAATCAAGGTATTTTTGAAGTGATATTCAATGCTCCTGCTCTTTCGAACCAACCTCCCGTTTTCCGAGAAACAGTTACTTTAAGAATTTCTAATTCTATTTCCATTTTTCTTCTTTCTTCTTTGTTAAGATTTAGTCCATCATTTAGCAGCTTTTGTAATTTTTCTATATCTGTCATACGGTTACCAATTCTTGCATTTAAACTATCCAATTTTTTTGGTTTATATAATGTATTATTGCAAGAACCTAAATGCATCAATAACTTAGATCTTGAATCTTCACTATCTTTTTTATACATATCTAAGCGTCCTTTATCCTTTATATTCATTTGAGGGTTATTAACGTGAATAACCTTATTACAAAAACGAATTACATTTTCAAGTTGAATATTTTCTTTAATCATTCTTTCCTGATCTTCATAACACTCATCCTTATCGTTAAAATTTTCAAACTTTGTGCGAACAATAGTAGTATGCTTTACAACATCCTCATCAAAAATAAAATCTTTCAATAAATTATAAGTATATATTTCTTCTTCATTAAAACGACCGCTTGATACAAAAAATAATTGATTTAAACCATCACGGATTTTATGAGCCGCTTCACCTAATTTATACAACACTTCCTTTTCATTTTTTTTTGTATCTCCAATACCAATCGTATCAATTACAATATATTTAATATCACCTATCATAAATTCTCCTGTATCACAATTTTTTGTTTTACTAACTCCGTAACTACTTTCTTCAAAAACTGTTTCAAATTACCATTTTTATTTACGAGAACGCTACCTAACGTGGACTTTCCACTCCCTGTTCTGCCAAATATTAAAATATTTTTTTCGTTATTTGAATTAACATCAATGTAATTTTCGTTTGACATTTTTTATTTTTTTGATGAAAGAATTGTTTCTGAGTAGTTTTCTTTAAAATGTTTTTAACAATAAAGCATTGTATTTATCCAAGATAAGTTCAAAATGCCTTTTCTATTAATCCCATTTTGTCAAGAAGCAATTACTAATCTGATCACATACTAACGCCTATTTTTAATTTCTATCAAAAGTATTGACATAATAATCAAATCGAAGTTTCCTCGTAAAATAAATAAATTGTTGATTATATAATAAATCAAATGTTTGACACAAGCTCCCAAACAAATGTTTTTTTTCAATAATATGGGAGAAGCAATAGATAATACAGTTGATGTTGTTCATAAGGGAACAGATAATCTATTTGAATTTATTCAAGAGGAAAGAGAGAGAGTTATTCAAAAGGGAGATTGTAATTTAATGTAATTTAAAAACTATCAATAAATCTTTATAATTTTTATAATAATATATTATCTAATAATTCATGGTTTTCTGATTTCGTTACAATTATTATTAAATTATTATTATTAAATAAAACATATTTCATACTAATTCAAGTTAGCTAACCATTTTATTATAATTATCCGGTATAATAAATTGTGTATCAATCATGTAATTCATCAATTTTTTTTATTATTCCTTAGATTATTTCGCAGGCAAATTTGCCCGCAAAAAGTAATAAAATATAAAATATTATTTTTAAATACTTGTTATTTAAAAATTTATTTAATTTTTTAAAAAAATAATTCTATTAATAAAATTATAATAACTTAAATATTTGTTATATATTAATCATTTATTTTATATATTATATATTCAAATAAATTTTTGAAACAATTTAAGTTTAATGAATTAAATAAAAAAAATCCTAATAATGATGTTATAAAAAGCTTTAATTCAAAATTGATAGAATATGTTATATTTAAAATTAAAAAGGATTTATTAGATATAATGTATCTAAATATTTTTTTTTTTAGAAATTGTAGAATATAATAAAAAAAATTAATAAAGTTATTAAAGTTATTAAAAAATAGTATTAAAAAAACATATTTTAAAAATAGCTAATAATATTTTAATAATTTAGAATAATAATAATAATGCAATTCAAAATCTATTTTAATATATAACTTAAAAGTTAAAATAATATCTATTTTTATTAATTCATTTTATAAATTACTATTATCATTTAAATTAGTTTTTCTAGATATTGATGTTTTATATTTTTTATTTTGTAAATATTATTTCTACACATTGTTACCTAACTAATGATTAAGTGGACTAAAACACGTAATCAATTGAGTAGCAGCAAGATTTAGCTCAATCTTTACGAAGTTTTAGGAAAGACTTTGGTTAATTCAGGCTATTATTGACTTTAGTATTCTTTCACGATTAAGTTCAGAATTGGCAAGTATGATGACTTCCAATTTATCAAGTAAGGCAAGTAATTTCCTCTGATATAGGAAATTCTCAGTTAACGTTACAAAGTTTATTTGTAACCAAGTTGATAGCACAAATGAGTTAATAACATTTAAGTAATTTAAAGATTACTTAAACCTGAATGATACAAGCATAGTTGATAATATTAAGTAATTTATAATTACTCAACCAAGATTAACACAAAGCAAGTTGATAACGTTAAGTAATCTAATATTTCTTAATCAAAATTGATACAAAGCAGGTTTGATAATGTTAAGTAATCCAATATTACTTAACCAAGGTTGACATAACATAGGTAAAATGATGATAAATTAGGTATCAATCAGTTATCAAAAACAGGCTGGTAAATACCTGATTGATATCTGATTGACTCCAAAATAATCTCCCGATTGATGTCAGTTTTTGGCAAAAATTGGCATAAATTCAGGCATTAATCAGGATGTAATTTTAAAGTTAAATTGTATATAGTCAGATGCCTATTGGTAATGCTTATTGGAATATAGTTTATATCTTTTTTTGTCAATATTTCTTATATCAATTGATATCATTTGATTAAAAAGTTGCATATCAGAATTTAACTAATTTTACATTAGAATTAAATCAGATAATTTTATTTAACTACCAATTAATTTAATTAAGTACAATTGGAAAACCCAATAAATCCATATTGAGGATTTCTGATTAATATTGTATTATTATTATTTTATTTACAGCAGTAGATAATAAATTGTGAAATTCTAGCTAATAATTAATACGCAGTATATGCAGTAAAATTGCTATTACTAAATGTTGCTAAAAGAAAAATTTCTATTGTAAAAAAAATAAATAAATTTAGAAAAAAATGCAAATACTTATTTATTCATCAGTTGGAGAAATAGAAAATCTAATCTGAATGGTCTTGTTTACTTTATTCTTCAAAGATCCTTTGTACCTGAAAACTGACTATTTTGGTGCATTTAATAGCGCTGTACTTTCGTTTAATGCATAGAAACTATCACAAATACGACTTTTGCATTGTAATACCTTTGATGTTTCTTCAAAAAGTTTATTAACATATTCACGTAAAAAGTTATGACACTAAAAAAAGTAAGATTAGCCATATGCCGATTAATACATTATACACTTAATAACTTACAGTATCTGATCGCTACCTAAGATTTCTTGTAACAATTATTCTACATCTAGTAGGATTGGACTGGTCTACTTCGCTATTCTCTAGAGAGTGGTTTTAAGCAGACAATCTTTATATTCAAAAAACTTTCTAACCAATAGATCTTTCGTACTTTGTAATTTCTCGATCATCTTAGCCTCTGTTTTCTTTCTATTCACAGGTTGAATGCTGATAAATCAGGTATCTTCCCGATTGGTCACTATTTTTTGATTAGCAATTAACAGATAGAAATCAGTAGATACTACAATCGGATATGAATCGGTTAATACCATAATCATAATTATTAGATAGAATTACATAAATCGGGTTCCAACCTGATTTTATACTTATTTTAAAAAATTTAAAACTATATGTTAAATAATAACAAATTGGGTTCAATTAATAATTAGTTATCAATCAGTTTAATACCTGATTGATAATTATTATTCAATTAGAATTTACCGATTGGTAACAATTCGCTAACAAGTTAACAATCCATAATGAAATTTGTTATACGATTTCATTTAAACGAATCGTATGAAATTTGTTATAATGATTCGTTATAATGAATCTTTTAACGAAATTTGTTAACAATTCGATTCGCTTAACGAAATTTCATTACTAATCGGTTAATGAAATTCGCTATGATTCGTTTAAATGAAATTTGTTATAATGAATCGTTATAACTAATTTCATATGATTCGTTTAACGAATTTTGTTCTGATTCATTAACAAAATTCGTTTAAATGATAAAATTTGTTAAATGATTAAATGAATTCCGTATACCGATTTGTTACAGTTTTTGTTAAATGAATTCTGTAAAATGATTCGTTACAGTTTTCGTTAAATGAATTCTGTATTGCAATTTGTTACGAATTTCATTAAACGAAAACTGTAAAATGATTCATTATAGATTTTGTTAAACGAATCGTATAATGATTCGTTACAGTTATCATTATACGAATTTCATTTAAATGAATCGTACAAATTTCGTTAACTGATTCATAACGAAATTCGTTTAAATGATTTGTAATGAAATTTTGTTTAATGATTCTTTAACAAAATTTGTTAACGAATCGTACGAAATTAGTTATAATGATTTGTTATACGAAATTCATTTAAACAAATTATAACGAATTTTGTTAACCGATTCATAACAAAATTCATTTAAACGAATCGTAATGAATTTCGTTAACTGATTCATAACAAAATTCATTTAAACGATTTGTAATAAAATTTCATTTAATGATTCTTTAACGAAATTCGTTAACCGAATCGTACAAAATTCGTTGAACGATTCATTATATAAAATTCGTTATAATGAATCATAATAAATTTTGTTAACCGATTTGTAATGAAATTCATTTAAATGAATCGTAACGAATTTCATTACAACAAATTGTAACAAAATTTGTTGAATGATTCGTTACAATTCATAATAATGATTCATTAAGAATTTCGTAATGAATCACAACGAAATTCGTCAAACGAAGACGAATTTTGCATTCGAAGGCAATTTTCGTCATTTTGAAGACGAATTTTGCATTCAAAGGCGATTTTCGTCAATTCAAAGACAAATTTCATTTCGAAAGTGAAATTTCGCCAATTCGAAACAAATTTCGTCATTTCGTAATGAAATATCGTATTCAATGACGATTTTTATTTTCATTAACTTTTTATTATTATTTGTTTACTATTAATCTTATGTATCATAGTAAAATATAAAACATATATATTTAACCTTTTTTAGCAAATCAGAATCACC